ACCCTTCGGCCCATCTGATCTCACCACCTCCACAACACCCAACCATCGCCAATGGCAGCATTGTCTCAGTGTCCTGGTCTCAACCCCCCTTCTGGCCACCCTGTACCACTCGTTAATTACGCCCTGGGTAAAGAAACACTTCCTGGTGTCTGTCCTGAAATTGCCCCTTTGCAACTCTAAAACCCGTGGTCTCTTGTTCTGCTGTCTCCTAAGTATTGTTCTCAGTTACTTTTTCAATGAGGTACCCAGTCTAACATCACTCTCCCATTCACTCGCATACTTGCGCCCCCTTTGAATAAATAATAATAATAATAATCCTTCTTGCATTTGATGTAGCACTTTTCACATTTTCTAAACGTCTCAAAGTGCTTCACAGAATATACTGTAAAGTGAGTTGACTGTATATTTGTGGGCAAAATGCATCAGCCAATTGCACACAGTCGTGCCCCACAAACAGTCATGGATTGAAGTGACCAATTTATTATTGTTTTTTTTCTTGAGGTATTATCAAGGCGTGTGGAGTAAGGAAACTTGCCCAAGGTTTCGCCAGGAATCGAACCCAGGTCCTCTTGTGCGAGTGCTCTAACCACTGAGCTACAGGACTCCACAACACAACAGAATACAATACAATAGAAATTACATTTCTCAACGTGTTTAACACTGCTGGCTGGGCATCCGAGCTGGGGGTGGGAAATGAGAGGGTTCGGGTCAGATGGGAAGGGGAAGTTAAAGACGACCGAAAGCGTTGTCAAAAAGGTACATTTTGAACAAGGACAAATATTCCTCTTAATATTTTAATTAATGTTTAATATAGCTCTTTGAAAGGGAGTTTAGGAGGAACATCTTTGCAATGCTCGAAGAGGATGGTCTTGACATGGACCTTGAAGGAGGGAAAGGAGGGGGCAAGGCGAAGGGGCTCTGGGATGGAATTCCAAAGGGTGGGAGCAGAGGGGCTGAAGGCCTGACCGCCGATGGTGGGGCAGGACAGGCGGGAGACATGGAGCAGGCCGGAGCCCATTGAGCGGAGGTAGTGGGCAGGTTGGTATGGAGTTAGCATCTCCTTTGGAAATGATTCACAGATTCAATGGCGGACAGTGACAGAGAATTACACAGATGGCAGATTAATATCAGGACATGAGTGGGGAGGAGGAGGAAGGGAGGGGGATGTTGCCCGGAACATGCCACAGACTCCGGGCAATCAACAATTATCCGATAAACAAAATCCCCCATTGCAGGGATTGTGATGAGACTTGCCGTCGTTGGCTATGAACACGGCAGTAGATAGTTGGTGGAAGGGTGGGGCTCAGTAACGCAGCCTCACGTCAGGTTATTTGTAACCAAGAATCAAAGCCATCCCAACATACAGAACATGCAATGCAATTCATGCCCTTGGTGCATTCACTCACTCACTCCCCTTGTGTTAGATCATTGGAATTATAGGAACTACACTACTGCACTTCTCATAAGCAATGCTATACCTCGCTCGGTGTCAGAGCTGGGCTGGCTCCTGCCACATCTGCTTTTCCATCTTTTTTGTTTTGTTGAAATAATAATAATCCTTGCATGTGATATAGCAGCTTATCTTGTCATTGAGACACACAAGATCAGTCTGGATGAAGAAGACCCTTTGGCCCATCTGATCTCATCACCTCCACAACACCCACCTGACCGTTCCCCCATCACAGCATTGAGCTACTGTTTAAATGAGTCCCAGTGTCCTGGTCTCAACCTCTCTTCCTGGCCACACTGTTCCGGTCATTAATTACCCTCTGGGTAAAGAAACACTTCATGGTGTCTGTCCTGAAATTGACCCTTTGCAACTCTAACCCCGTGGCCTCGTGTTCCGCTGTCTCAATAAATCCCAATGTATTGATCTGAGTTTAATGTTCAATCCCATTTACAATGTTACACACCTCTATAAGGTCTCCTCTGAGACACCTTCTGAGAACTGAAGAGCCCCCTCGCTTGTCTAATCATTGCTCGTAGTTCATTGCTCTAACACTGGGGACCATCCTCGTTGCTCTCCTCTGCCCTGTCTCTGGGACCTGGGCAGCCCCTCATGTCACAGTGACCAGAACGTGATGCAGCTCCAGGTGCAGCCGGACCAGACACTGTACAGTCCGAGTGGGACCTCTGGGGATCTGTTCTCAAAAGATTTCACAATTCAGCCGAGCATCCTGTTTGTGTTTTTTATTGCTGTCTCACACTGTTGTGACACAGTGAGTGACAAGTCACTAAATCTCTCTCAGCTCCCCCCACCCCCCGCCACTTGGCAAGTTCTGTCCATTTCAATGTAGTACATGTATTTTCTGTTCCTGCATCCTATATGTAGTGACTTGCCTTTATTTGTATTTAACTTAATTTGCTACTTATCGGTACAATTCTGTATTTTGTATAAAAACTTTCTTTGCGACATAAATGGAGAAGATATGTAATAAACAGAGAGACTGTTTCGAGGAGCCTGACTGGGCATGATAATATTAATCTTTACATTTAATACAGCACCTTATTACATCGTTGAGACATCTCAAAGCCCTCCACAGAATATACTGTAAAGTTAATTGACTGTATGTTTTGTGGTTGAAACGTGGCGGCCAATTGCGCACAGTCTTGGATTGAGGGACCAAATTATTATTTTTTTTGAGGGATTATTATCCTCGGAAAGCAATCCGTCAATTTCCTAAGAGCTGGATTCCTATTCAGTGCTTGCTAAACAGAGGTGTGTGTGTGGAGTAAGGAAATTTGTGTAAGGTTTTTCCCTGCCTGGGAATCAAACCCAGATCCTCTGCTTATGAAGCGAGTGCTCTAACCCCTACGCTATAGGATGGTGAGCAGAATGGCCTCACTCGATAATTGAGAAAATGCAGCATTGTCTAGTTTGCTATATATATCTATATCAACATGCCCGCTGTTAAACAGTGAGATGCCCACCACGTGCCCATTCACTGCATGCCCGCACTGCCATGCATTGGGATTGCCCCACTAATTACCCATGCAGACCCTCAATCACACCCACATGCCAACCAGCCCATCTGTGCCCGTCGGGGCTAACGGAGCTCCTTTCGCTCTTCAGCTCAAGCTAATGCGCCAACTGTGCCACCTAGTATAAACCAGCCAGACTGCCCATGTCACCCATAACCCCCTCCCACTCACACCAGATTTCCATGCAGGAGCCACTCATGCGTGTCTGCCAACTCGTTCGCTTCAATCTGCCAGTCTTGGTGTCCAACTGCAGAAGGATCTAGGAATTGGGGGCAATTCTGCTCAGCTCATGCCAACGGCAAGCCCATATGTGGGAGAGGAGGAGAATGGGGTAAGGAAAGCGGACAAGGGGGAAGGGGGCAAGGAGGAAAGGAAAGGGGGCAGGGGATGGAGGAGGAAATCCTTTCCAGAATGCCAATGTGCTGAATGGAATATTTTTCCCAAAATATTTTGACGACATAACAACGTGTTGTCGCAAATTTAGCCCCAAAACCACTTTATCCTGCAAGTTTTCAAAGTATGGGACAGGTTGGACAACCTTGGTTAAATAAAGTTTTGATTACTCGAGCATGGTGATGAGCTTCCTCATGTCAGACACACGGCTAAGCAAGGGAGGGATGAGGGGAGGGAGGTGGGGAGGAAAAACACTTTATATCAATTCACGCTTATACTCACTGGTTCTTCATCGAGGAGGGACACATCTTGGAGCGATGCACAGAGACTTGATTGGATGCCAACAATACCGACAACAGCAACTTGCATTTACACAGCGCCCCTCACACAAGGTTGCGTCTCAGAGCGCTCGACAGTGGCGGAGCAAGACACCAAATTGCAGGAAGGTTTGGTGAGTAAGCAGGTCAGAGAGGCAAGTGTCAGGATCTTGAACCAATCCGTTCGGTGATAGGGAGCCAGTGAAACCTGGATAGAACTGGTATTTTTATTTAGAATTGGTGTTTCTACCAAGCAAGGGAAGAGGGCAGAAGGTGTATTCACAGAGGTAGGATGTGAGACAGAGTCACTGTTTCCTCTGGTGGAGGAATCCAGACCGAGGGGACATCATCTTAAAATTAGAGCTCGGCCATTTTGAGTGAAATCAGGAAGCATTGATGAGGAAGGGAGGTGACCTCAGTGTGTTGGGATTTAATAATAATAATCCTTGCTTTTGACATACCACGCCTTGTCATTTTCATACAATCAAAGAATCATAGGATTTTACAGCACAGAAGGAGGCCATTCGGTCCATCGTGTCTGTGACGGCTCTTTGAACAGAGCTGTCCAATTCAATCCCACTGCCCCGCGCTCTCCCTGTAGCTCTGCAAACTTATCCTCCCCAACATTGTTGATACATCTCAAAGTGCTTCATACTGTAAAGTGAATTGACTGTATTTTGTGGGAGAAACATGGCAGCCAATTGAATACAGTGTCCACAGACATCTGTGGTTTGAGTAACTGAGTGGAGGGATTATTATCAATTGACCAACAACTGGGTTCCTGCTGACCGCTATGCAAACAGAGGCGTGTGGAGTAAGGAAACTTGTCTTGGTTTTGCCCTTGCCTAACGGTCCTCTCGCTTGCGAGGCGAGCTTTCTAACCACTATGCTAGATTTGATTTGAGTCAAGATTAAGGCACAAAAAAGGGGACGAGATGGAGGAGCAGAGGTTTGGGGCATACTGAAGTTTCCATACCCAGCGATGGTGGCGCAGAGGGTGGAGGGAGGGAGAGGGTGGTGGGGGGGGTGAGCCTGCGTTACCCAAGAGGAGGGATGAGGGGAGAAAGACATGGAGAATACAACAGAGAATATCAGGCTGTGACTGTCAACTCCAGAGAGACACAGAGCAATAAATTAATACCTGGTTTCAAAATGTACAACAGAGAATTGTGCTCACCTTCGCACTCTGTCCTTTGGGTGAAATTAGTTGTTCCAGAAGGACTGACGTAGCCTTGTTGACAGGTACAGTAGTAGGACCCGGGTACGTTGTGACAAAGTGTGTATGAACCACACAGTGCGGAAATGAACGTTGCAACACCATAAGTCTCACACTCGTCTGTATCTGCTCAGAAGGGAAACAGCTTTGGTCAGGAACACAGAGACTCAGACAACATCGAACCATAACCAACATGAGAAGGTCTTGAGACGAGTCTTGAAGGAGACAAGTGAGGGGGTGAGGCACAGGAGCTCCAGGAGGGAGTTCCAGGGGGTGGGGGCAGAAAGCCTGAAGGCTCGATACTGATGGTGGAGCGAGACAGGAAGGGGACAGGGAGAAGGCTATTGCCAGCCGAGCGGAGGCATCAGGGCAATCGGTCTCAGTGGAGCACAACTGTGGAGGGTTTAAAATGCAAGGACAGAGAAAAGATAACGGAGGGGAATAAAGGTGGAGGAGAGGGGAGGGGAGGAGAGGAGTGGAGGGAGGAGGAGAGGAGGGAGGAGAGGAGTGAAGGGAGGAGAGAGGAGATGAGGGAGGAGAGAAGGGGAGAAGGGAGATTAGAGGGGTGGGGCAGAGAAGGGGAGGGAGGAGAGAGAGGAGGGAGGAGGGGAGAGGTGGAACAACAACAACACCAAGATTGCATTTATAGAGCGCCTTTCACGTCGGGAGGACGTCCCAAGGCGCTGTACAGTTGGGTCAGGACTCGAGCATTGGGGGGAAATGGTCAGGGTGAGGGGAGGGAAAGGAGGGAGCGAGGAGGGGGTAGAGAGTCGAGAGGGGAGCTAAAGGCACGGTTGAAGAGAAGGGTCTTGAGACCGGCCTTGAAGGAGGAAAGAGAGGAAGCAGCGAAGGAATTGGGGGATAGAGTTCCAGAACCTCGGGGCTGAGAGGCTGAAGGCCACCGATGGTAGGGCGGTTGGGGCGGGGGATGTGGAGCAGACCGGAGCCGGAGGAACGGAGGGTACGGGCAGGTAAGTAGGGGGATAGTAGGTCAGAGAGGTAGGAGGGAGCGAGGCCGTGAATGGCCTTGTAGGTGAGGATGAGGATCTTGAATTCGATCCTCTGGGGGATGGGGAGCCAGTGGAGGGGAGTGAGGGCGAGAGTGGGAGTGAGGGTGAGGGCGAGGGTGGGAGTGATGTGGTTGCGGTGTCTGGTGCGGGACAGTACACGAACTGCAGAGTTCTGAATGACCTGCAGTGTGGAGGGAGGTGGCGGGAAGGCCGGCGAGGAGAGAGTTTCCGTAGTCCAGCCTTGAGGTGATAAAGGCGTGAACCAGGGTTTCAGCCGCGTGAGGGGTGAGGTAGTGCCGTAGTCTGGCGATGTTCCGGAGGTGATGGAAGGCGGTGCCAGTTGTGGTGCAGATATGAGGAAGAAAGGACAGCTCAGGGTCGAACAGAGCCCCGAGGTTCCTGATGGCTTTGAGAGGTGGAGAGTGCAGCCTTGGATGCTGATGGTGTCAGCGCCTGAGGTGTGGAGGCGCTGACGTGAGTCAATCAGGAGGGCCTCGGTTTTGAGCACGTTGAGCTGAAGAAAGTTGTCACTCGTCCGGGACTCGATGTCAGACAGACAGCTGTCAGGACATCGGGGGTCGTGGAGTTGAGGGTAGAGGAGAAAAGGTAGAGTTGGGTGTCATCCGCATACATGTGGGAGTTAACCCCATGTCTGCGGATGATGTCACCACAGGGGGAGCATATAGAGGGTGAAGAGGAGGGGACCGAGGACAGAGCCCTGAGGGACACCGCATGAGACAGTGTGGGGGGGGGGAGGAAAAACCATTTGTGGAAACAAAATGAAGACGGTGTGAGAGGTACGACCTAAACCACTCAAGGACAGGGCCTTGAAGGTTGAGGTGGGAGGACAAGCGGTGGGGAGGGCGGAGAGGGGAGAGATAGGAGGGGAGGAAAGAGGGTGGAGAGGGGAGAGAGAGCAGGGGGAAATGGTCAGGGTGAGGGGAGGGAAGGGAGGGAGCGAGGAGGGGGTAGAGTGTTGAGAGGGGGGGTGAAGGCACGGTTGAAGAGAAAGGTCTTGAGACCGGCCTTGAAGGAGGAAAGGGAGGAAGCGGCGAAGGCACTGGGGATGGAGTTCCAGAGCCGAGGGGCTGAGAGGCTGAAGGCCCGGCCACCGATGGTAGGGCGGTTGGGGCGGGGATGTGGAGCAGACCGGAGCCAGAGGAACGGAGGGTACGGGCAGGTAGGTAGGGGGATAGTAGGTTGGAGAGGTAGGAGGGAGCGAGGCCGTGAATGGCCTTGTAGGTGAGGATGAGGATCTTGAATTCGATCCTCTAGGGGATGGGGAGCCAGTGGAGGCGAGCGAGGGCGAGGGTGGGAGTGATGTGGGCGCGAAGCCTGGTGCGGGACAGTACATGAGCTGCAGAGTTCTGAATGACCTGCAGCTTGTGGAAGGAGAGAGACGGGGAGGGCGGAGAGGTGGAGAGGGGAGAGAGAGGAGGGGAGGGAGGAGGGTGGAGAGGGGAGAGAGAGGAGGAGCAGCTGTGATTGTAGGTGTAGTTTGAGACTCACCAACACAGACAAATTCCGGTGAAAGCTCATAACCATCCCGGCACCTCTGGCTTGTGACGAGCTGTGGATACCACACACTGCAAACCCACATCACTGAAAACAACCAGAAGACACATTTACAACATCTGACAATCTGACCGTGGAGTCCTGTAGCTCAGTGTTTAGAGAGCGCGCCTCGCAAGCGAGAGGATCGGGGATCGATTCCCGGCACAGGGGGAATGTTGAGCAAGTTTCCTTACTCCACAATCCACTGTGTACCGAACAGTAAGCAGGAACCTGGTTGTTAATCGATTGGCGGATCTTACCGATTAATAATTTCTTCAAAAAGATAATAATATTAAATTTGGTCACTTTAATCGAGGACTGTTAGCGGGGACACTGCTGTGCACAATTGGCTGCTGCATTTCGCCCACAAAATATACAGTGAATTCACTTTACAGTATATTCTTTAAAGCACTTTGAGACATCTTGAAGACGTGATAAGGCACTGTATCAAATGCAGCATGAAATCTAACCCGTTCTCATCACCAGCTCTAACCAGGCTCCACTGGCTCCCTATTACACACATTAAACTATGTACCCCCATCACCCCAGCTTCAACCAGTCTCCACTAGCTCCCTATCGCTGATCAGATTAATTTCAAGATCCTCACACTTATGTTCAAATCCTTTCATGGCCTCACACCTCCCTCCCTACCTCACCGACCTGCTTACTCCTCAACCCACTATCCGCTGCCTCTGCTCGACTGGCTCTGACCTCCTGCTGATCGCTCGTCCCCTCTGTTCCACCATCAGTGGCCGCACTTTCAGCCGCTACACCCTGAAACTCTGGATCTCTCTCCCTCAATCCCTCCACCTTGACCCCTCCTTCCCCACCTTCAGGTCATACCTTAAAAACCTTCCTCTTCGACTGTGCCTATGGTCACCTCCCCCTTCCCTTGGCTCAGCTTCGTGCTCCCCCACTCTCAAGCGCTCTGGGACACTATCCTGAGTGAGGGGCGGACATGCAAGTTGTTGTTGCTGGGGGCTGTGTTTACGCTGGCCAACTAGTGCTCATAAATACGATTCTGGGCTGAATCTCCAGTCGGAGACACCGTCATTCAGATGAGACATTAATCCAGGCAGCTGTCTCTGCTCGGCTTAGATGGATGTTAAAGATCCTGTAGCGCAATTCGAAAAGAGAATCTCTCTCCCCGTGTCCCGGCCGACAATCCCACACAAATATAATCACTCATTCACTTCATTGCTGTTTGAGGGTGCGTCGCTGTGCGCAAATTGACTGCTGTACATCCGACCACAAAATGCAGTCACGACACTTTATAGTGGATCCTGTAAAGCACATTGAGACGTCCTTGAGACACTGATGAAAAGCACGGTATCAAATGCAAGGATTATTACTGTTCTTATGAATGATGCAATTCTAACCTTAGGATCACTCCACAAACCCTTGATACGTTAACATTCTTGCTTTGTGAGTTTCCATCTGCTTTTAAAAGGATTGACAGACTCTATAACTCTCAGCGGTTTGTGCCACAAATCTAGGTTCTATCCACTCCGTCTGTGAAGCAAGTTTTGCCAACCTTAAACAAGTTAAGGAACCTCCTTAGGAATCCCGCAAATTTTGCCCAATTGGCTTAAAATATAAGATTATCCGGAACTTTGGATGAAGTGAACACAGTTCAATCCATTCTTAGTTTGGAAGCCAAATAATTCTCGCTATATCAGGACTCTATATTCACAGCTCACTGTATCAGGACTGTGTATTAGTTTCAGTGGGTACTGGTCTGCTCCACATTCCCCTGCCCTAACCACCACAACAACAATTTGCATTTAGATAGCGCCCTTCACGCGGGGTAGCGTCCTGGAGCACTTTACAGTGGCGCAGTCCGACAAAGAGCCATGGAGAGAGGGAGGGGGGGAGGTGACCATGAGCACGATCAAAAAGGAAGGTCTATAGGCGGGATTTGAACCTGGGGAGGAAGGCGACAGGTCAAAGGGTTTGAGGGAGAGAGTTCCTGAGTCTCGGGGTGTAGTGGCTGAAGGCACGGCTACCGATGGTGGAACGGAGGGCACGAGGGACAAATAGGAGGCTGGAGCCAGCCGAGCGGAGTCAGCGGGTGGTGGAGTGGTGGGGGTAAGCAGGTCGGAGAGGTAGGGAGGGGCAAGGGCATGAAGGGGTTTGAAGACGAGCGAGAGGATCTTGAAGTCGATCTATTCGGTGACCGGGAGTCAATGGAGTCTGACAAGGACTGGAGTGATGGGGGTACGGAGCTTCATGCAGGTGAGTATCCGGGTGGCAAAGATTTGAATGAATTAACCACCACACTATGAGCGGTCGGGCCTTTAGCCTCTTTGCCTCCACCCTTTAAAATCCACCCCAGAGCCCGTCCACCTCAGCCCCTCCCTTGTCAGAAGGCCCGTCTCAAGACGTTCCTCTTTGACCTTGCTTTCAGCCACCCTCCTACTTCCCCTAATCTCCCTGCCCTCCCTCCATCCTTCCTGCTCCCAACCCCCAGCTCGGGCGCAAACCCTTCACTGTCCAGCGCCTTGGGACGTCCTCCCAATGTGACGTTTGCTGTGTAAGTATCATGTGCTGTTGTTGTATGTCGCTCACTGTATCCGGTGTCTCAATAATAATTATAGTAATATTAATACTATACCATTATTATTATTATTATTAGATAATTATTTGGGGAGGGTTAGGGTTGGGGAGGATAAGTTTGCAGGGCTATGGGGAGAGAGCGGGGGAGTGGGGTTGATTTGGGAAGCTCATTTCAAAGAGCTGGCACAGTCACGATGGGCCGAATGGCCTCCTTCTGTGCTGTATAATTCTAATGATTCTATGATAATATACTCCTTTAAGAATATTTCTTAAAATATCAATAAAACGTTTCCAATTAACTAACTCAATGGCTTTGGTTTACGGGAAAGAACCTAATTCACCCCCAGTAAAGTCCAGGCCACAATTTACTTACTGCTTTGCGTTGGACAGTCTCAGAGCACAAACAGGTTCACGTCAATGCGGTATTCACGAGATCATTGCAAAGACTAAACCTGGAATTACCTATTTTTAGCAAAGATCATAAAAAGGTATAAACTCTCAAAGTCTATTCTTGATTTCGAAAGAGACGAGACGTTAAACAAATAGCTTTAAGCTGCAAACGTTAACACTGGGGTAACGTTAACGTTGAATCCAGCCACAGAGCCACACCCCACGAGCCTCACGGCCCCCTCTCCTCGCCCGGCTTCACTGGCACCCCATCGCCCAGAGAAAATCCTCTTTCTCACCTTGAAACCCACCCCCTCCACCACCACCCGCGGTCCAGCCCACCCTCCCTCCCAACCCAGAGGCTTGGGAAAGAGGCACAGATGATCAGCAGACTGATGCTGGAATCCACTGGTAACCACATTAAAGGCTTCTTTCCAAGATATATATATATATATATATATATCATTGCGTTAAACAAATAATCCCACCCGCTAAAACTCTGCTAAAACCCAACATTTCAGAATGTGCCTCAATTGGCAGGTACTCCACTTTGCAGTAAATGTTTGTGAGCACTTTGAGACGTCCCCACGGTGTGAAAGGTCCCACCTCAGATGCAAGGATTCATCGTTATTATTATTATTATTATTAGAATTAAATGTGTAAACCCATGTTATTACAATAAATATCCTCGCATTTGACACAGCGCCTTATCACGTCATTGAGACGTCTCGAAGCGCTTCACAAGATATACTGTAAAGTGAATTGACTGTGCACTTGTGGGCGAAATGCAGCAGCCAATTGCGCACAGAGACATCCCACAAACAGTCGCGGATTGAGTGCAGTTGTTGTTGTTTTGCGAGGGATGCTGTGACTTTGAAAATGAAAGAGTGCGATGAACAACAACAACAACAACAACGTGCCTTCACACTGCGCCTTTCGTGCAGGTCGGACCACTGACCGTTTAAGGACTGACCAATTCCAGATGCTCAGATAGTCTGAGTTAATGGAGTAAATTGAGAGCCAGATGGACGCTCTCTGCCCACTCGTCTCTCACGCTGTATTCACTGCTCGCGGACACTGTCTAAAGCATTTCCCCCACTAATTGCCCGGCTACACATGGAGACCAGATGGTTCACAGACACAGCGTTACTGATCGCTGCTTGAACAAAACCCTGAGAGACCAGAGGATGACACAAGAGTCAGAGAGAGACATCCCAGCTTGCCCACAAACATACAGTTAATAATAACAATAATAATGTTCCTTGCATTTGATTTCGAATCTTCTCACGTCCTTGAGACGTCTCAAAATGCCTCTCAAATGTACTGTAAAGTGTAGTGACAGTCGGCTGCGAGCCGAGCGCTCTAACCACTACGTTACACAATGGGCCAAATGGCCTCCTTCGACAATTGGGAAAATTATTATTACCATAATATTATAATATTGAGCTAAACTTGGCTGGAATTACTTCTGCACAGAACAACTGATTTTAAATTGTTCTGAATCTCCCCCACCCCTCCACCCACTCCAATTCATTGCACTTTACAGCCAAACCCATCCTTGACGTGTCAACTGGATAAGTACAAATTAACTCCTGATAACTCGTCACTCCCAGAACAAAGGGCTCAGTTGCATTCGATATAGCGCCTTATCAACGTTGTTGAGACGTTTCAAAGCGCTTCACAGAATATACTGTAAAGTGTAGTGACTCTGTGTGTTACGGGCGAAATGCGGCAGCTAATTGGACACAGCAGTGTCCCACAAACAGTCTCGGATTGAGTGACCATATTTTTATGAAGGGATTATTGCCCCCCAGAAAACAATCCGCCAATCAACTGATACACAAATAAATGCGGTTGGGATGATAGTGACAAGTTAAGCCAGCATTGAGCTGTCAGGATTTTACTGTATATAATATATATTATACAGTAAATAAATACTATATAAAGATAAATGTCCATTTGTTGTTGTCGAGGCATTGTATCGAATGCAAAAATACCATTAACCTTAACCCTAACTGTATTGAATGCAAAGCTATGCTGTACGCAATTGGCTGTCGTGTTTCGCCCGCAAATATACAGTCAATTAATTCACTTTGTGGTATATTCTGTGAAGCGCTGTATCAACTGCGAGGATTATTATTAATAATCATAATTATTATTACCGCTAATGAGTCATTTGAGATACAGTAGTCATTTCAGATAATAATAATTCTAGCAATTAATATAGCAGCTCATCACGTCTTCGAGACGTCTCAAATAATAGTCAAAACTAAACAGTCACTGCACTTTATAGTAAAATAACAAGAAGCACTTTGAGACGTCTTCCCGACGTGAAAAGGTGATACATCAAATACGCAGATTATTATTCCTATAATTTTGGAGAAAGTGAGAGGAGAGAAGCACTTTAGTGTCCGATAAGAGAGAGAGAGAGCGAAGACAGGAGAGTTTTATATCTTAGAGAGGCAGAAAGAAAAAGATGAGAAGAAGAGGAGACCGAGAGAGAGAGAGAGAGGGAGAGAGTGGTGGATGAGATAGAGAGAAAGAACAGGAAAGTTTTGTTGGATGAATCTGATAAAGAGAAGGGTACAGAGAAGCAAACGAGAGTTTAACACAGTCAAACAGACAGGACATGTATTGCTCACACACTGATGTCCTGAACTAACTTACCCAGAATAAGGACTTCAGTGTTCATGATCCCAGACACAGAGTTCCTCACAACCAGTTTACAGAAAGTCCACCAGTAATCTCTTGCTCTCTCGCTCTGTCTCTCTCACACTCACACTCACACTCAGGGAGAAGGGAAATAAACTGTACAGTTATATGAGACACACCCAAAAAACTTTAGCAACAGGCGAATAAGAGGGGGAGGAGCCCTCTTAAAGTTTGGCAGCACTCAACGAGGATTGTTGAACTCAAGGAAATATTTAAACCCGGTGTAATCTACTCGCACTGAACATTAATGCTCTCTTTATTTTCTCTTGTGCCAGTCCGGCTCAGCCGCCAGCGCTCTCGCCTCTGAGTCAGAAGACTGTGTGTTCATACTCCCATGTTGGAAACTTGGAGCTAACGTAGTCGAGGCTGGTGCTGCTGTGCAGTGCTGGGGGGGAGCACTGCATTAACGGAGATGCCATCCTTCAGATGAGACATTAAACCTGCCCCCCCCGTCTGAGCCCTGTTCAGGTGGACGTTAAAGATCCCGTGGCGCTGTTCAAAAAGGGAATGGAGATTCTCTCCCGGGGTCCTGGCCAACAATCCCCCAAATAAAACCAGTCGTTCACCTGATGGCTGTTTGTGGGACGTCGTTGTTCACAAATTGGCTGCTGCGTCCACCCACTAAACACACAGTCACCGCACTTTGCAATAAAACCCTGCGAAGCATCAATGTATTTAAGAGGAAGCCCGATGCAAACATAAGGGAGAGAGAAATAGTGGGGAATAAGATGCAGGAATCACAAGGCTCGTGTAGAGAAAAACACCAACATGGACGAGTTAGCCAAATGCTTTATTGCTTTATGTTAAAGGCTGATTAGGAGTCTCTAAACACTCAGATCAGGTGTTGTTGGCTACAGATGTTTAGAAGTAACACAGACAGCAAAAACTTCATTAATAATAATTAATAAAAAAAATTGACACAGGGCCCTTTCACACCAGGAAGGTATCTCAAAACGCTGCACAGTAAAACATGTAGCAACTGTATTTTTGTGGGCAAAAGCAGAAGCCAATTTGCACACAGCAGCGTCTTACAAACAGCCATGAAGTGAGTGAAGCTTTGTATCTGGGGGATTGTCAGTCAAGGACACCGGGAGAGAGAGAGAAACTCCCTTCTCTATTCGATTAGCGCCACGGGATCTTTGACATCCACCTGAACAGGGCCCAGAGGTTTAACGTCTCACTCGAAGGATGGCGTCTCTGATACTGTGTGAGAACATGAGAGAAGTGTTAAGTGCTGGTCTGGAAACGAGGGGAAACTCTGCCATTTCCCTTCATTCATTCAGACTCCGGCTTCTCTGGGGTTGGGGAATAATTAGAGGCTGGTTCAGGGGAAGGGCTGTAAAGGCAACAAGGGATCAGTCAGAACCGGGCGAGGACATCCCTGTTCCTGCGGAAACCTTGCTCACACGTCACGCCAGGCAAACAGCGGGAACCTGAAGCCGCACAGATGTACCACAAACAGCTGGGAGTAAAGTGCGGTCACTGCCGTGCGCAACACGAGAAGGTGTTTCTCTCCGCCTCCCCCCGGCATCCTGGCTGACAATCGGCCTCGGATAAAATCAGTCGCTTGTTTCACACCTGTTTATGGGACATCGCTGTGGGCAAATTGGCTGCCGCCTTAGTACCTGGTCCCGCCTATGTAAAGTTTAGGGACTGTGCATTTTTGTAGGCGTACACAGCAGCTGATTTGCACACAGCGACATCCCCGGAAACAGCCGTGAGGTGACTTCCCACTTTTATTTGGGGGATTGTCAGCCAGGACACAGAGAGAGAAGACATCCCTTCTCTTTTCCAACAGCGCCGCGGGATCTTTAACATCAGCGCTGCACAGGGCACAGACAGGCGGTGAGGCTTAATGTTTCATCCAAAGGACGGCACCTCCGACAATGCAGCACTCCCCCAGCACTGTATTGGAGCATCAGCCGGGACTATGTGATTCCAAGTCCTGACGTTGGGCTTGAACCCACAACCTTCTGACTCAGAGGTGAGATCACTACCGACTGAGCCAGGCTGACACACAGCGACTGAGCCAGGCTGACACATAGCGACCAAGCCAGGCTGACACACAGACACTGAGCCAGGCTGACACACAGACACTGAGCCGGGCTGACACACAGACACTGAGCCGGGCTGACACACAGCGACTGAGCCGGGCTGACACACAGCGACTGAGCCAGGCTGACACACAGCGACTGAGCCAGGCTGACACACAGCGACTGAGCCAGGCTGACACACAGCGACTGAGCCAGGCTGACACACAGCGACTGAGCCAGGCTGACACACAGCGACTGAGCCAGGCTGACACACAGCGACTGAGCCAGGCTGACACACAGCGACTGAGTCAGGCTGACACAAAGCGACTGAGCCAGGCTGGCACACAGCGACTGAGTCAGGCTGAGACACACCGACTGAGCCAGGCTGGCACACAGCGACTGAGTCAGGCTGAGACACACCGACTGAGTCAGGCTGAGACACAGCGAGTGAGTCAGGCTGAGCCACAGCGAGTGAGTCAGGCTGACACACAGAGACTGAGCCAGGCTGACCCACAAAGAAGGTAGAGAGAGGGAGAAGCACTCAGGTTGGTATTGCAGAAGGCTTTTCAGTGGAATCAAGATACTACCCTATACTCACTGCAGGAAGCTCCATTGGTCAACCCAGTCAGCCACAGTGAAGTCAATGAAACCAGTCCCAGCACAACACCCACCCTGAGCTTTGACTGCACTCAGCAGCTCACAAACATGAGGCAACTGCAGTTGAGAAGATCGCGTCTTGACTGATCATTGGTGTGATTCTTTCAAGAACAAATTAGCCAGATTTCCGTCAGGAAATAATATCTTGGGATACAGTACATAGTTTTGGGACACAACATGTCGTGCGACTGCCAGGATGGTGGAAGGTGAACTGGATGGACCTTAATCTTCTTTTGTTTAGTAATTTCTTATGTTTTTTTTTGGATCAGGGCAATCCCATGGTATAATAGACAGAGCTACATTTTACGATAGCTCCACTTATCCACAATCCAACTGATTCACAACTCCGCTGCCCGTATACTCACCCTTCCTGCAGTGAGTGTTTTGATTCCACAGAAAAACCACCCCCCATCCCCCCAGTTCTAGCCGGGCTTCGCTGGTTCTCTATCACCGAACTGATCAACTTCAAGATCCCGTCATGCCTTGGCACCCGGCTACCTCTCCGACCTGCTTGCTCCCCATTCAGCTACCCGCTGCCTCCGCTCGACTGGCACCGGCCTGCCGCTCCTCCCCGGGAGCGGTGCAGGGTCAGGATGGGGAGGGGAGAGTGGCCGAAATCTCCATCAAAGAGTCTCGAGATGGGCCTCGAAGAATGGCAAGGGAGGAGTGAGGGGTTTGATGTGATTCATTTAATGGGGGAGCGTTGCATTGCCGGAGGCGCCTTCCTTCAGTTGGGACTATTAAAACGTCTGCCTGTTCAAAGAGTTCCAAGTTTCAGAGAAGGGAAGGGAGTTTCTTGGCCAACGATCTCCCAGATAGGCTAGTCGCAGCTTGCTGCAGAACACTGCATAGCAGACATTTAGCAATTGATTGATTGATTGTGAAGAGCTTTGAGATGTCTCATTACTTCAGAGTACTTAAGAGAAATAATTATTTTTGTGGAATCCTGAGGCGTAGTGGTCAGAGTACTTGCCTCGTAAGGACCGGGGTTCGATTCCCAGGCAGGGCGAAACCTTCAGCAGGGTTCCTTACTCCACACGTCTATGTTTACCGAGCAGTAAGTAGGAACCTGGTTGTTAGTCAATTGGCAGATGGCTTTCTGGGGGTAATAATCCCTCTCCCCCCCTTCAAAAAAATGTGGTTACTCAATCCACGGCTGTTTCCAGGGTCGCTGCTGTGCGCAATTGGCTGCTGTAATTCGCCCACAAAATATACATTTTACAGTATAGTCTGTGAAGCGCTTTGAGACGTCTCGACGACGTGATAAAGTGCTGCATCAAGTGCGAGGATTATTATTACTGTGAACAGGGGATGACTGCGAAGCCCTTTGAGGCGTCTCGTCGTTTTAGGTGCTGTATCGAAAGCGGAAAAGTAATTGTCAGGGTATTATGATGGTTATAACGACATTATAACCTCGCCTCCCCTGTGCACATCGCCCACGGTAATGGTGCAGGAAGGGTTAAGTCGAGGAAGGCACAGAGATCAAGAGGGAAAAAAAAACTGAGAGAAAAAAAATGTAAATTCACAGCAGATGTGCCAAGAAAAGACAACACAGAGGGCTGACTGTTTGGAAATAATCACCGGAGCAAGGCCTCAGAGATGATAGATCTAAGGTTAGTCGAAACACGAGCCAATACGTTCAATGAACACGTGTAGTCTAAGCTGATGCTCTATTGCAGTACCGGGGGGAGTTTTCTGCATAGTTTGGAGGCACCGTCCTTCAGATGAGATGTTAAAGCAAAGTCTGCGCCCTGTTCAGGCGGACATTAAAGATCCTTATTGAAAAGAGAAGGAAGTTTCTCTCTCTCTCTCTCTCTCTCTCCTGGTGTCCTGGCCGATAACCCCCAAATACAATTGGTCACTCGCTCCATGGCTGACGGCGGGGACATCACTGCGTGCAAATTGTCTGCCGTGTTCACCCACCGCAACACGCAGTCACTGCACTTTACAGTAAATCCAGTGAAGAACTTTGGGACACCTTCCTGACCGGAAAGGTGCTGTATCAAATGCAAGGATGAGCAAACATGTCCCCGTGCCCCCGCTCTCTGGAATGGAGCCACGCTCCCTCCCTCCATCCTGGAATGCCTCCCACTCACTCCCTGCCCCGCCCTCATTCACGGTCCATCTCAAGAACTTTCTGAGTGCACGTTCGAACGGTCATGTTGCGCAGGCCTGCAGCATAGTGGTTTAAAGCGCTCGCCTCGCAACCGAGAGCACCTGGGTTCAATTCCCAGGCAGGACAAAACCTTGGGCAAGTTTCCATACTCCACACTCCTCTATTTAACTAACAGTAAGAAGGAACCCGGTTATTAGTCGATTGGCTTTTCTGGGGGTCATAATCCCTTCAAACAAATAAAATTATTGGATCACTCCAATCCATAACTGTTTGTGGGACACTGCTATGTGCAGTTGGCTGCTGTGTTTCTCCCGCAAACTAC